CAACCCGGGGATGGCACCACCCATAATGGTCTACGCCCTTCTCCATCTATCACCTATTAAGAAAATCTCCTATAGGCTTGCCTGCCTATAGCTGTTTCTTATGGAGGCATTTTCTCAATTGAGATTCCCTCCTTACAGATAACTCTAGCTTGTGTGTCAAGTTGACATAAGACCAGCCAGGACAGGTAAGCATGTTCACATGTGTCTGCAGGTGCACATGGAGACCAGAGGTTGATGTTGAGTCCCTTCCTCAATTGTGCTTTTTCTATAGACATTGAGACAGGGTTTCTCTCTTGAACCCTGAGCTCACTGATCCAGGTGGTCTACATAGCCCTGGGCTCCCTGTCCCTGCTTCCTTAGCATTGGGATCACAGGTAGGCCACTGTGCCTGCCTGGTTTTTACCTGGATTCTGAATACCCGAACTCCAGTCCTCATGCTTTCACAGCAAGTACTCTCTCCACTGAGTTATCTTTCCAGACAGTGGCGAGAATTTTAGACTCTGAAAGGAATTTAAAGATAAGATTAACTTCTTCTTCTTCTTCTTCTTATTATTATTATTATTAGTTTTTCGAGACAGGGTTTCTCTGTATTGTTTTGGAGGCTGTCCTGGAACTCACTCTGTAGACCAAGCTGGTCTCGAACTCACAGAGATCCACCTGCCTCTGCCTCCCAAGTGCTGGGATTAAAGGCGTGTGCCACCACCGCCCGGCTAACTTCTTATTTTATAACTAACCGGAAATTCCGTGTTTTGCCAAGTTTATTCCTGGGCTATTAGAGAAACAGAGCTTGAATCCATGCCTCTTGCTCTCTAACTTCCTTCTGTTTGAGGCTGGCCTCAAACTTGTGGAAAATCTCTTGCGTCAGCCTCTGGAGTTGCCAGGATTAGAGGTGTAAGCCACCATACCTGGCTCTGCTTATCTTTGAGCAGCAGATGCAGGAAGCACCCACTTGAGGACCACTGTATGCTAAGAATATATGCAAGCTCTGATGCCACACTACTGAGCTCAGCCTGAGATCTGTTATTTATTGCCTCTATGACCTTGGTGAAGTAATCTAATTACACTGTGCCTCAGTTTACCCATCTGTAAAACTAACTCTCAGGTTTGTTGTAGAGACTAAACGAACTGACTTATTTAAAGTACATAACCATACAAGGCATTTGTAGTAACCAGAAATCTCAGCACTATTTAGCACACATTCTATTTTTGTTTGTTTGTTTGTTTGTTTGTTTTGAGACAGGGTTTCTCTGTGTAGCTTTGGAGCCTATCCTGGCACTTGCTCTGTAGACCAAACTGGCCTCAAACTCAGAGATCTGCCCGCTTTTGCCTCCCTAGTGCTGGCATTAAAGGCGTGTACCACCAACGCCTGGCCTTAGCACACATTCTTCTGGTTACTGATATAACAAAGATTAGCTGGAGCCCGTGACATCTGCCTGTGGCTGTTTTTATTTAAGCTGCATTTAAGAAGCAGAACTCAAGACCAGGGGGAGTGTTGCTTGCCAGTTATCCCAGCTATCAGGAGCTGACATAATGATACAAGTTCAAGGCCAACACACCATCTCAACAAATATGCTCATAACAAAACAAAAACTTCATTTGAGGAGGTGTTTCTATCTTGACATTCCATACAGAAATCTCAACTTCAGTTTCTCTCGAAAATTGGAAGGCCTGATATTGTTAGGCTAAAATTCTTGGATGCTAACAAGTGGATAGTTTGTAATGTAGTTGCTGCCCACACAGATAAACTGGCCTGTCTACTGCATGCCCTTGTATTTTCATACCTGGCTAAAACAACCCTTGTTCCCAAGGAACTCAATCCTATAGGTGACTCACACTGGCTGAATATAGGCTGGCAGGAAGGAAAAAAAGACAGCATTGCCAAGTACAGATCATAGCAGTAGCCTGGCGGGACACAAGAGCATCTGAAATGGTGGATGTGGTGGTGGTGATGTGAATTGTCAGCAAAGGGGCTTTGAAAAAGAGAAGGGAGGGGCTCGGAGAGAGAATTCAGTGTGCAAAGAAATGGAAGGGGGAATTAGCTTGGGCCGTTAGCAACCATAAAGAGGGTCTTTTTTTGTTTATTTTTTTTGAGACAGGGTTTTTCTGTATTTTCTTGGAGGCTGATCTGGAACTCGCTTTGTAGACCAGGCTGGCCTGGAACTCACAGAGATCCACCTGCCTCTGTCTCCTGAGTGCTGGGATTAAAGGCGTGCACCACCAATGCCTGGCCTGGCCATGGGTCTTTTTTAATTTTTTGGTAGATTTTTACCTAGAATAGATAGACTGGGATTGATTGACACAAAATAATAGAAGTCTCTAATTTGGATTTTACCATGCAGGAAATGGACAGTTCTTGAAATGTTTTCTGTCATTAAATTACAAATCTAACTTTCAATGTAGTTATGTCTGGATGTTGTTATCACATTTGGTCAAATGCCTTTAGACCTCATTCTTGAGAAAGAAATGCTGTGTGATGCATTGTGTTCTATTGTTCCGTGAAGATGTTTGAAACATTTATTTTAGATTTATTAATTTTATGTGTCTTAGTGTGTAGTTATTTTTTGGGTGGGCACTCTTTGGGGGCCTGCCACCCAGCTCCAAAATAAATACATGCAGACTTATTCTTACTTCTAAATGCTTGGCCTTAGCTTGGCTTGTTTCTAGCCAGCTTTTTAAAACTTAAATTATCCCATTTCTTTTAAACTATATTTTGCCTCTGGGCTTTTCACTTTCTTTATTCTATACATCTTTCTTTCCCTCTTACTCCATGCCTGGCTGGGTGGCTGGCTCCTGGTGTCCTTTTCTCCTCTTTTCCTCTCATTCTTCTCTAGCCTAGATTTCTTCTCCTATTTATTCTCTCCCAGCCCCACCTACCTATTGGCCATTCAGCTCTTTATTAGACCAATCAGGTGTTTTAGGCAGGAAAAGTAATACAGCTTTACAGAGTTAAACAAACACAATATAAAAGAATGCAACACATCTTTGCATCATTGAACAAATATTCCACATAAATGAATGTAACACATCTTAAACTAATATTCCACAACATCAGTGTTTTGCCTACATGTATGTCTAGGCTGAGCAAGGTATCTCTCCATATAGAATGGGCTCCACTAAGCCAGTTTAGGCATTAGAGTTAGATCTTGGACCCACTGCCAGTGGCCTCGTATTGTTCTGGTCACACCACTGTCACCTATATTAAGGGAGTCTAGTTTGGTCTTATGTAGGTTCCCCATTTGAAGACCTGAGTCAGTGATCTCTCACTAGCTGGGGTCAGCTGATTCTGTGGGTTTCCCCATCATGGTCTTGACTCCTTTGTTCATATTATTGTTCTCCCCTCACTTTGATTGTATTCCAGGAGCGTGGCCCAATGATTAGTTGTGGATTTCTGCATCTGCTTCCATCTGTTTCTGTAAGATGGTTCTAGCTGTTCTTACCCCTGAGTCATTTCTACAGCCCTTGAAAAGGTATTTTTAATAATAAGATTTATTTTTTATTACTTTTAACTTCATGTGTGAGTCTGTGTGGGTATGTGCATGTGAGGCTTGAACCAAACTCTGGTCCTCTGGGAGAGTAGAAGATGCCGAGCCACCCCTCTCCTGGGAAATATCTTTCAATAGTAAATTGCTCTTTTTTTTTAAGACAGGGTTTCTCTGTATTGTTTTGGAGGCTGTCCTGGAACTCGCTCTGTAGATCAGGCTGGCCTCGAACTCACAGAGATCCGCCTGTCTCTTATCTTTATGAGTGGTGAAATACTTTTTTTTTCCCTTCACTTTTTTTCTCCCTCAGGGTATTTGGTAGACAATGCTGGCTTCAAATTCAGTATGTAGCTGAGGATGATTCTGAACTTGTGGCCACCCTGCTCTATTTCCCAAGTGGAAATTACTGGCCTGTACCACCACTCTCAACTTAAAATATATTCTAAAGATTTGTCTGGAAATGATTACTTGTTTACAAAATGGATATAATTCTGACTTCCACCTCAGGGCTACTGAACTGAAAATTCAACTCATCTAAACCTGTGCAAGGAGCTTACCAAGACAACCTGAGGTAGAGGTAGAGGTCAGCTCTTATGAGTTACAATAATCACAGTACTTACTGAGTCCTACTTGTCTGTGTATCCTGTCTTTGAAAAGATAAGAAATCTCTTTAAGTCAAACATGTATTTTACATTGGAACCCGAAATTAAACCAACTGGTGGCATCTTCCATTAAAAAATATGCAAAAATGCTAGCTTGAAATACAAGTTAAACCCGGCGTTGGTGGCACATGCCTTTAATCCCAGCACTCGGAAGACAGAGGCAGAAGGATCTCTGTGAGTTCGAGGCCAGCCTGGTCTACCCAGTGAGTTCCAGGACAGCCTCCAAAATACAGAGAAACCCTGTTTGGAAAAACCAAAAAAAAAAAAAAAAAAAAAAAAAAAAAGAAATACAAGTTAACCTTCCCCTCTGTATTTTTGGTTGTAAAAATTTCAAGATTTCTTTGTGAAAATTAAAAAGTACACGTTTTTTTCTTATACATACATTTCAATTTAATAGTTTGTTTGCGGTAATAAATGTGCTACTACGGTAGAAGCAGCTCTCCTGGCTCAAAGAATACATAAGGAAAGACCCTTTCAGGCAAAGGACCTTTTCATATTTTGCGTAGCTAGGGAGATCAGATAACCACTTGGCGGGAAAAGGATAAATACTGACCAAATCGGCACAATCTGTTTCTGTTTAGTTTATAAACTGCGTTCCAGGATGTCAGCTTTCCTGCCTTGTGGGACTTGAAGTCCGAAGTTAGAAGCGATTCAGGCAGCTGGACCTTAGAAAGCCACAGCCCCCGAAGCTCTGAGGCCTAAGGACTACAACTCCCGACATACACCAGAAGGCCGCGCCGTAATCACGGGCAACCAATCGTATGTCTACGAGGTAAGCCCCGCCCCCCGGCTCCAGGATAGCTTTGGCCAATGGCAGAGCTCGGAGCGCACAGCCTGCGGGTTAGGTTGTGAGGCCCGGGCCGGGGGTGGGGAGGAGCCGAGGGTTTCGGTGTGAGCTCGGCGGCCGGGTGATTCGGGGCGTTCGGCGCGCCCTTCACTGAAGCGGCAGTGGCCGGGCTGGGAGCGGGGAGTGGGAAGCGACGGCGCGGCTGGAAAATGCCGGTCCATTCCCGAGGGGATAAGAAGGAGACGAATCATCATGATGAGATGGAGGTGGACTACGCGGAGAACGAGGGGAGCAGCTCCGAAGACGAGGACACCGAGAGCTCGTCGGTCTCCGAGGATGGGGACAGCTCAGGTGCGCGACCCAGCTGGGCAGGGATGCCGGGTGCCAGCGCCGGGCGCGCGACAGGCCGCGGTGCTCACGCCGGGCGGCGCGTCCTGCTGCGAGCGCGGGGCGGGGAGACGGGGAAGGGGCGGGGACTGGCTCGGCCTCTGGCCCCGGGCAGCTGCGGGGCACCGCCAGCTCGGGGGCCGGGTTGGCGGGGCGGGCGCTGACTTGTGGGGACCCGAGGCGACTGTGTTCACGGGTGGGGCCTAGGGTCGCCTGGCAGTGCCCTGGGGCTGCCGACGAGGGAGTGGAATGCCCCGCTGGCTGGTCTTGAGGACCGTGGAAAAGTCCCTTTCCCCAACCTCCTTAGTGTCAGCAACCCTTGTCAACGTGTGTCGGGGCTGAGGACAGCGTTGCCTAGGTCCTTGGCCGGCTTGGAACTCATTAACATTTGCTTGTGGGTCTTCCTGTCGCTAGTGCTGTCATCAGTGCTCCTGAGGAGACAAACTTGGGAACTCTCCACCTCGTAGTAGGTCACTAAAGTTTTCAAGACCAAGAAGGGACCAGCCCGAGGGATGATTTCGAATCTTCATGGGTTTTTAACCTGGAGGATGTGGGCATTGTTGACATTCCCAGAATCTCCTAGCGCTCATGATTTTGTAACTTAGGGCCGTTTCTGATTCCTTTGCTTATATTTTACGCTTTTTTTTTTCATGGGGGAGGTAGATTAACACTACAAATGCATTTCGTAAACCCTTAATAATGGCCATTCAAAAACGAATGGTATTTGTGATTTTCAGGATCTTTCTCTGACCATGTGATGGAGACTGAGCATGGCTTCTTTCTCTAACCTGGTTTTGGCCATGTTTACATGGAAGCATTGATAACAGGTTAATGACAGTGTGTTATCACTCCACCCTTTTTTTAGGTTTGCCTGTCAGAGTACACTCCGCCGTGGAAGAATGTCATGGCAATAAGTCAAAAAGTAAATATCTATGAGGGAGACTTTTTGCTTGCTACCGGGCATTACTCACCACGAGGTATAAATACATAGTTACATTATCTTGTGCCAGGTGAAGTCTCAGTGTTCTCCTTACTTACCAGAGCGATTGAACATACAGATTTACGGCAGTGTGACTGCAGGCGCAAGACCTGAGCAGACTCAACCCAGAAGAAATCCCAGTGTGACACGGGGTGACGTGTGCATGGGGGTCCGCCACTCGCTGAGGAGTCACTGGCATTTGATAGCTGCTGGGGGAGAGTCAGTTTTCTTTAGTAGCATGACCCCGGGTAGGTCAGCCACATGCCAGGGCAGGCTCCAACCCAAGGATATCTGGGCAAAACAAATGGAACTCCATGGCTTTGTGAAAAAGAAAACATGAAGGACTTGAAGTTGAGTGGGTAGGTAGATGGGTGGGTCTGGAGGAGGGGGGCAGGGCAAGTGAGTGTGTTCAACATACGTTGTACCATTCTCAAAACGTTAATAAAAATATCTAAAGGTACTGTTGTAAGTTACCACGTGATTACGTTGCCAAATAAATGATTGAATGAAAGTAATGGTGTAGGGATTCAGAGACAGAAGAAATGCTTCCAGAACTGAGTGGTCAGCACCTTTAGTGAGGAAAGTGGGACTGCCTTGTTTTGAAGTATTTGGGTTGGGACAGTTAAGGTGGAAAGTTCATATAGGAGAAGGAATGTAAGAAAAGGTGCAAAGGCCAGAGTTCAAGGCTTATTGGAGAAGGAGAAAACCAGTTTGGTTGGGAGAGCAACAAGCTTGAAAAGGCAAAGACTGCTGTAAGCTGTGAGAGATTTCAAAGAAGGTGAGAAACGGAACTGAGGAATCCAACTTTAGGAGTGAATACAGTGTTTTGAGCACATTGCTGTTGTGGATTCTGTCTGTGTATGTAAGAATGTCTGAACTGACTTGGAAATGTAACATTGGAACCCGCCTGGAATGAGAAGAATGATTCTGAAGTCATCTGCCTAGCTAGGGACATAGGTGAGACTTCAAAATTAGCCAATTATTTAACATGAAGTAGGGATTATAAATCACATTTATACTCTGAATACAGTTCTTGAATCTGAATTTTTTGTTGTTGGGATATAGAGAACAGGGTCATGCTGCGTAGCCCCAGAGCAAAGCATTTTTATATTCAAGTGTTTTTGTTTCTTTAAGGTTTTATTTTTAAGTGTGTGTGTGTGTGTGTGTGTGTGTAGGACCCAGGCATTTGAGTGACAGTGCCCATGGAGTCCAGAAGAGGACATTGGATCTCCTAGAGCTGGAGTTACAAGTCGTCGTGAGCCACCCAGTGTGGGTGTGGGTACTCAGTCTGGTCCTCTGCAAGAACAGTATGTGCTCAGATCCCCTGAGCCATCGTTCTGGCCCATGTTCTTCTTGGGTTTTAATGGGAGCCAAGTTTCCATTAAACGTATTATAATTCTTTCCTTCTAATATTTACATTGTCATGATTTTTAATATGTCCAAAAAATCTCATGCTAGAAAATAATAAAATTTACAAAGATCATAATAGTAATTTCTACTAAAAGTCAATTTTTAAAAAGTGCATGTAAATCATTTAAATGCATTTTGTAGTTTTGCTTCTCCTAAGGTCATTTTTATTCTGCCACACTTTGTGTATTACAGGTCCCATTTTTTTCCTGTTGAAACTTGGTACTGAGCAGATCCTGGGAACACAAAAACTTCTTACAGAATTTGGAAGATATGAAAATTTGAGGGACCAAGTGTTGTGTTTGTGATCATGTGTCCCTGTCATGTCCTGCTCCCTGTCAAGCCCTGGGCCTTGAACAGTTTGTGCCTGTGCTCTACATGGAGTTAGAGCTTAAGAGGCAGAAATATTTCAGTTTGCTTTAGAAAATTATCATCATATACTTCCTTGATATATGAAAATAACTATACATGCTGTGACTCCTCATAGTTTGACCCTTTATTTGATGAGGAGCAAGATGCAGATCAATTGTGCCTCAGTTATTTTGATGTGTTGCATGTGTGTGTTGTAAAATGGAAGCCGTGAAAATGAGACAGACCTGGTAATTAATGGTCGTTGTTTTTACAAGTTGGCTTAGTTTTTTCCTCATTTGCTCTTTCTCATTGATGGACAGTAATCTGGAGAGAGGGAACCAGGAGAGGGTGAGTGGTAGTCCAGGATTCCTTAAACTAAATGTAATGGAATTAGTTTCATTTTTGTTGCTGTTGAGACAAAGTTTCACTATGTAGCCTTGCCTGGCCTGGAACTCCCTATGTAGACTTGGCCTTGAGCTCAGCTCTGCCTGCCTCTGCCTCTCAAGTGCTGGAATTAAAGTCATGTGCTATCATGTTGCCTAGCAATAAGTGATGGGGTAATCAGCCATGTGGCTTCTCAGCCTCCTTCTCCTCCTCCTCCTTCTTTTTAAATTTTTAAAAAAAAATTATTTTCTGTGCATTGGTGTTTGCCTGCATGTAGGTCTGTGTGAGGGTGTCAGATCTTGGAGTTACAGGCAGTTGTGAGCTGCCATGAGGGTGCTGGGAATTGAACTCAGGTCTTCTGGAAGAGCAGTCAGTGTTCTCAACCGCTGAGCCATCTCTCCAGCCCCTCTATCTTCTTTTTTTACTTTAAAGATTAATATTTTTTTAAATCGTGTATGTGTATGGCACGTTTGGAGGCCAGAAGAGGGTGTCTGATCCCCTGGACCTGGTGTTACAGGCAGTTGTGAGCCATGTCATGGATATTGGGAACTGAATTTGGGGCCCAGCAAGAGCAGTATCACTTAATTTCTGAGACAGCTTTCCAGCTCTGGTGTTTCTTTTTTTCTTCTGCCCAGGCTGGCTTTGAACCCTCATCCTTTCCCGCCTCAAATTCTCTAGTGCTGGGATTACAGTCATGCACTACCACAGCTGACATGTTGCAGTTGTGAAGAAGGAGTTCCAGATGTGTTTTTAAAATAATAGTGACATTTTTATGAGCATAGTCATTTTTGGTGCTAAGTTCTCAAGAATTAGTGTAAAACTAATTTACATAGCTTTTAAAGTCTGTGAAAATGGGTAAACACGAGACTCTAGAGACTGCTGAAGCTTTAACTAGTCTGTCACTAAATTAATTCTATAGTGGTAATTATTTTGGATAGAAATTGTTTATTTTCCTTTAAGGTTTAATATAGACCTTACATGCCCAATTTCATAGTACCACTTTTTTTTTCTATTTGAACTAACTTTAGATATATTTGAAAAAGTTTTGTCTTTTTTGTTTTTGTATTTTGAGACACAGTTTCACGTATCCCAGGCTGGCCTCCAAATTGCTGTGTGGCATCTAGTTGTGACTAGCCTCATACCCCTAACCCTCGTGCCTGTACCTCCCTAGTGCTGGGATCCAAGCCTGTGTGCGCCTCCAGGCCTGCCTTGAGTTTTATCTTTGTTGTTTCCATGTTTGTTTTTTATTAACAGAGATGGATGATGAAGACTGTGAAAGGAGAAGGATGGAGTGTTTAGATGAAATGTCCAATCTGGAGAAACAGTTTACGGATCTCAAAGACCAGTAAGTACCAACTTGAGAAGGCCATTGCCACTGACTCTCAGTGGTGTCATTTTATTAACACAAGAGGAATTTTGTGGTCTCTGCTGTGTTCCCTTTTGTGTTTTATGGGGACAGACTGGTCTGATCTGAAGGAGGCTTCGATTATTGTTTACTCACTGGAGACCTCATTAAACAGGGTTTTGAGGCAAGTAAGTGTTTGGGGGTGGGCTGGAGTAGATGACTGACATGTGGATGTTGGTGATTCAAGTGTTCGCATTGGAGCTAATCTGCATTATTCATTTCTTTGATAAGTAATTTGCTGAAGATTTTTTCCTCTGCTGCTGGAGATGAAACCCTGTACATGATAAGCAAGTGCTCTGCCACTGAGCTATAGTCCCAGATCCCTCTTTTTACTTTTTCTTTTGAGACAGGGTCTGCCTAAGTTACCCAGGTTGGCCTTGAACTCACCTTATAGTTCAGGCAGGCCTTGAACTTGTGATCCTTCTAACCCAGCCTCTAGTATAGCTGGGTTTACAGCTGTGTGCCACTAGGCAGAGACACCATTTTTAAAATTTGAGAATAAAATAATTGTCCTCTAGTTTTCTATTTGGTAATTGATTTCATATCTTAACATTGAATAGTATCTATATCATGTATTTCACATGTGTTACTTAATTTACTTGTAATAACTCTGTAAGGTTGGAAGGTAGTCTTCCATTTTAATAGTGAAGAAACTGATGCTCAAAGAGGCTTATTTGTTCCCATACTTTATCAAAAAGTGTAAAGGCCTTTTGCTGTGCATATCACTAATGGCTCTTTTCTTTGGAAATTGCTGTAGAGTGGAAGAGCATAGGCTCCAAATCAGGTTTGAATGCATTTAAAACAATTGTCTTCTGTGTGTGTGTGTGTGTGTGTGTGTGTGTGTGTGTGTGTGTTTTGCTTGCATGTATGTCTGTAAATTACATGTATATGGAGGCCAGAAGAGGGCATGGGATCCCCAGTGACTGGGATTACAGATGATTGCGAGCTGATATTTGAGTGCTGGGAATTAAACTCCCATCTCTGGAACAGCAGCCAGTGCTCTTAACTGCTGAGCCATCTTGCCAGCTCCTAAATTAGACTTTCTTAACAGATAAAAGGTGATAGGGTGCTGGGGGTGAGTTCAGGGGTGGAGAATTTGCAGAGTGGAGGAGGGTAGGAAGCCCTGTTGGATGCCCAGCAACAGAAGTAAATAAGTAAATGTGTCCATCCACACATACAAACAATGCTGTCAGTGACCTCACAATCCAATGTGAAGATTAAGGAGTGTCTTTGTCAGTGTTCTGTTGCTGTGAAGAGACTGTGACCACATTGATTCTAATGAAAGAAAACATTTAATTGAAGCTGACTTACAGTTTCAGAGGTTTAGTCCATTATCATCAGGGTGAGAGCATGTTGTACCAAGCCGACGTGGTGCTGGAGAAGTAACTGAGTTCTACATCTAGATCCACAGGCAACAGGAAGAGAGTGTGACACTTGGCCTGGCATGGCCTTTTGAAGCCTCAAAGCCCAGCCCAGCAACAAGGCCACACCTTCTAATCCTTTTCAAGTAGTGCCACTCCTGTCAGTCATGACTAAGCATTCAAATATATGAGCCTATGGGGGCCATTCTTACATTCTTATTCAGACCACCACAAGGACCTATATAGAAAATTCTTTGAGATTTGTTGGCATGTGGTAGGTGCCTAAGAGATACTAACTTTTCTCCTTTTGTTTTTTGGTCCTGGAGATTAGGGGCCTTGCATGTGCTAGGTAAGCACACTCTTACTGAGCTATACCAGCAGCTCTCTTTGATTTTGAGAGAAGAATCTTGCGGACTTGTTGATGCTAGCTAGCTTCCACTCCTCCTGAACCAAGGCGATATTGCATTTGTGCCCAGCACGTTCATTCACCCCTCCACTCCCTTGTTAATGCCAGAGCTGCTGCCACAAAAACGGATTTCTTAAGAGCTCTTTTTTTTCTTGTGTGCTGGCTGTTTTTTGTGTCAACTTGACACAATGTAGAGCTTTCTGTGAAGAAGGCATGTTTTTAAAAAGATTTATTTATTTGATTTTATATGTATGACTGTTTTACCTGCATGTATATCTATATACCACACGCGTGTCTGGAGCCATGGAAGCCAAAGGAGGGCATTGGATCTCCCAGGAACTGAACTTACAGGTAGTTGTAAGCTACCGTGTGGCTGTTGGTAATTGGACCCAGGTCCTCTGGAAAAACAAGTGCTCTAAACCACTGAGCTATCTCTCCATTCTGGAAGAAAGAATATTAATCAAGAAAATGCCCCATAGGGTTGGGCTGTGGGAAATCTGTAAAGCATTTTCTTGATTGATGAATCATGTGGGAGGCCCATTCCATTGTGGGTAGATGGTGCCATGCCTGCTTGGTGGTCCTATTATGTATAGAAAGCAGGCTGATAAGGCCTTGGGGAGTAAGCCAGTTAGCAACACTCTTCCATGATCTCTGCATTGGATCCTGCCTCAAGACTGATGTCTTGAGTTCCTGCTCTGACTTCCCTGGATGATGAACTATAAGCTGTAAGATGAAATAAACCCTTTCCTCCCCAAGTTGCTTTTGGTCATGGTGTTTCCCATAGCAAGAGAAACCCTAACTAAGATATTTGGCAACTGGATCTTGCTATCTTGCCTTGCCTGGCCTCAAAGTTGATATTCTACTGCCTCCATCTCCTGAGTATTGGGATTCCAAGTATTCACCATCCTGCTTGGTGAAGACCCCCAAGCGTGTGTGTGTGTGTGTGTGTGTGTGTGTATGTGTGTGTGTGTGTGTGTGTATGTGCATGCACGCGCGTGCGCATGCGCAAAGGGCATAGAATAGATTTAGTAAAATTACCAGGCTAGAATGAGACAATGTGTTTACTGTATTAATCTTGCTTATGCTATTTCTTCTCTTAACTTTCTTTGGTATTAGAGATGAATATATGAGTATATTTCCTGCTAGTTTAACATATTAAAAAATACAAAGTGTATTGGTTTTGAAACACATGGTATAATTTTTTTTTCTGAGACAGGGTTTCTTTGTGTAGCCATGGTTGTCCTGGTATTCAATTTGTAGACCAGGCTGACCTTGAACTCACAGATCCACCTGCTTCTGCCTCTGAGTTCCAGGACTAAAGGTGTGTGCCATCACTACCTCATGGTATAATATTTTATTGTACAGGTTTACATTATTGTATCATGTTGGGTGTCATGCTTGTAATGTCAACCCTTGAGAGGTAGAGGTAGGTGGATTGGTCATTCCAGGTAAACCTAGGTCTCATAGCAAGACCCTTTAAAAAAAGAAAAGATTTTCATTGCTAATTTTAAATTAAAATTAGTTTGAATCCATTTGGGCAACAGAGAGTTTATCTAGTATCATTCTTGCAAATATGTGTGTATGTGTGGGTTTTGAAGAATTATTTTTAGTTATGTGTATGTGAGCGGGGGTAGGGGGTGGTGGTGTAGGGCATGGATATGCACACACGAGCATGCAGGTGCTCATGGAAGTCAGAAGCTGATTCCCTGCAGGGGGTTGTGAACCACCTCACATGCGTGCTGAGAAACAAACTCAGGCCTTCTGAGAGATCAGTACTTACTCTTAACTACTGAAATGCTTCAACAGCCCCAAATTTGGGGTTTTGCATTTTAGTAGAAATATCCCATAAATGAAGAATTCTCATGCAGTTCATTAAGATTTGCTTGTTAATCTCGTGAAGTGTATTCTAGCGTTACTCAACAAAGGAAGATTGCTTTAAGTTCTCATATGTGGGAGAGTAAGTAGTCACCAGATCCAGTCTTGCTCACCTTGAGCCATGTTGCTCAATGGTTCACTATGACCACGAACTAGTTCCTCTGCCAACCTTCTGCCATCTCTGGATGTATTAAGAGTAGATCCATGACCATCACACAGGAATGTTCTTTCTTGAGGAATTGATTTGTAGAACTGTGTATCAGAGAAAAAGACTTTTTTTGCATCGAATTTAAAATCTTTACTTTTTCATCTCCAGGTTGCTTGCTTAGTTTTAGCCTGTCACACAGTGTATCTCTGTAGGGTGCCTTAGAGTTTTAGAAGGGGTAGAGAAGGATACAATTGTGCTGCTCCTCTTATTCTAGCACCCTAGGGTGCTGGAGGGCTTTGCATGAAGCAGCCAGCCCAGCCACTGCAATTTCTGTAGTATGGAGATGACAACTTCTACTACCTTTAAAAGACAGAGGGGTTCCTACCAGATTCTCAGTCACAGGGGCCTGGAGAGATGGCTCAGAGGTTAAGAGCACTGGTTGCTCTTCCAGAGGTTCTGAGCTCAATTCCCAGCAACCACATGATGGTTCACAACCATTCATAATGAGATCTGGTGCCCTCTTCTGGCCTTCAGAAGAGAACCCTGTATACATAATAAATAAATAAAATCTTAAAAAAAAAAAAAAAGCCGGGCATTGATGGTGCACCTCTTTAGTCCCAGCACTTGGGAGGCAGAGGCAGGTGGATCTCTGAGTTCAAGACTAGCCTGGTCTACAGAGTGAGTTCCAGGACATCCTCCAAAGCCACAGAGAAACTCTGTCTCAAAAAACCAAAAAATAAAAGTACTTAGGTTTATTCATTTTTTGTATATGTTTTGCCTGCATGTATGCCTGGTGCCCTCAGAGGTCAGAAGACGACATCAGACCACCTGAACCTAGAGTTAGGGATGGTTGTGAGCTATTACCTGGGTGCTAGGACTTGAACCATCTCTGTAGCCCCTTCATTCATTTTAATATTTGACAACTGATTGAGCATTTACTCTGTAAGAGTATAGTTACTGTTGAAGGGCATGTGTTTGTGAATTTCAAGACTAGCTTGGTCTACAGAGTGAGTGCCAGGACAGCCTCCAAAGCAATAAAGAGAAACCCTGTCTTGAAAAACAAACAAATAAAAAAATGCCAGAAACAACAAACAAAAATTAAACAGGTACTGTTGAGAACAGTTTGTGATACTGTGGAAACAGCCAGGGATTTACTTACTTTGACAGTAATATTGTCTGTACCTGAACTATTAAAAGTGATTTCCTTCTTTTAAGCTTAGTGTTTAAAATAACCTTTTCTTTTAGAATTGATTTATTGTTGTCCAATTAAAACAAAAATTGGGAGTTGCAAAATAGTCATTTCAGGTTTTTTTTTCCACTTTTATTTTTTGAGATGGTTCTCTCATCACCTCCTCCTGCAGTAACTTTAGACAGCAGACAAGGCCACTGAGCCTGAATTTTAATTGCATTTTTTGTTGTGACGAAAGAGTGACTTGATTACAAAAAAACCCTTGCACTGGTATCTAATATTATGATGTGCATAAAGTCAAATAATGTAAGTGACTTTGATTGCTGTCAAGGCAGGAATACATTTGATAGGTTATTGGAACATAAGCACTATTAGGAAACAATAATGCATGGGGATGGCAAGTTGCTCTTCTTCATGGGGAACTTTTAATTAATGTCTAACTTTTTGCTTTGTTAAGACTTTATAAAGAACGGTTGAGTCAGGTGGATGCAAAACTCCAAGAAGTCATAGCTGGAAAAGCACCAGAGTATTTGGAACCACTGGCAACTTTACAAGAAAACATGCAGATTCGTACAAAGGTGGCAGGTAGGAAAGTGGGACATTTTGTACGCTTTGTGACGGTTTGATATTGTGGCCTTGTCTGAGTGAATGTGTTGCAGATGGCATAGGTCTAGGTATCTGCCACCCTCCTTGACTGTATGCACAGCTGGTGTCCCGAGGCCACCTGTGGCTTGACATTGAGTATACACATCTAACGTCATCTGCTTGCCACGTCTGCATGTGCACATGTGCGTGGTCTTGCTGCCTGTTTTATAATGCTGCCTCATTCCCTGTAAGACTGGCACTTGGGCATCTGGCTGTTGGGAGCACTCTCAACACTACCTGCCTTGTTCTGCCAGTTGATACAGTCTTGTTTCGAAGCTTTGGACTCGCAGATACTAGTTTGGACGCAGTGGTTTTGACAGAGTAAGGTATCCGTTTCTTGCTTTAATTATGCACGCTCAATGAAACCAGTTTATTGTCTGTCTCCCTTCTGTTAGGAGGAATTGTTTTCGTCCGAAGAAGATTGTGCTTTTTATGTTATTATATCTATGGAACATTTAGGAGTGTTCTTGCAAGTATGAGGCAAAATAAAAAGTAGCTGTGTGACTTCTTCCTACCTCATGAACTCTTACTTTTTCATCTTCTTTGTTGTGTGTTTTGATTGAATCTTTTTTTCCAGTTTGATTTTTCAATTTTTTTTAAGGATCAAGTTAGAATTTCTTGTGACTTTTTTTACTGTGTCATCTTATGAACTATGGTGCAGACAGACTGTGGGGGAAATACTGATGACTCTTTAGTGCCAACATAATTGGAATCATTGTGCTTGGTTTCAGGAATCTATAGAGAGCTCTGCTTAGAATCTGTGAAGAACAAATATGAATGTGAAATCCAGGCTTCTCGCCAGCATTGTGAGGTACTATCATTCTGTCTAACTTTTAAGATAATTGCATCTCTCCAAGTCTTTTCTGAATATAGTAGCTTAAAAAGTCAATAAAACAAGTGAAACAAAATGCAGCTTATCACTTGGGTGAGTTTAAAAAAGTGCAGTTCTCCTGAAAGCTGGACTGGAAATAGGACTCCAACACAAGAATGACTTGTGATAATTTCAGAAGTTTTGCAATTGTTACTTAAAAAAGTATTTACACTGTGGTACTGGGAACCATCTTAGAGCACCAGGCAAGTGCTGTTCCACTGAGCTGGAGCCACAGCCTGTGACTGTTACTTTAGAAAACTTGGTAGTGGCCATGTCATCAGAAAACTGATATTACAGTATAACTAGCACAATATAGAACTTTAGGACAAAAGTGTATATGCCATACTGCAGTTAGAACATTGGACTATAGAGTTAATTTTTGACTATCTGGACTGGTTTCCACATTTTAGGATAGCATTTTCTATGTGAAGAAAATAAAGGTGCATTTTCTTTATGTCGTGTTTACATTGAATAGTGTTTAAGAACATCATACTAATTTTGAAAGTTACTTTTTGTGAGACTTAGATATGTTAGAAGACTAAGACAATAATAAATAAGGGGAAAGTTCTAGAATGACTCCTAATTTTAATTAAAAAAATTTGTTATTTTATGTGTATGTGTGTTTTGCCTGAATGTATGTCTGTGTACCTGTGTGTGCCTGGTATCCTCTGAAGCATTAGATCCCTGGAACTAGAGTTATATATGGTTGTAAGTCACCGTTGGGTACTGGGGATCTAACCTGAGACTTTTGCAAGACCAGCAAGTGCTCTTAATCACTGAACCATAGCTCCAATCCCTAACTCTCCTTATTTTAATATACCATGTTAATATACCATGTGATGTTACTTGCATTACTTGATTGGAATTACATCTCAAAGTATTTATCTTTAAAACTGTACAAACAACTTGTTTCTCATAACAATTTTCCATTTATTCATTTGTTTGTATTAATATGAAGTCATTGTTTCTTTTTTTTTTTTTCTAGACAGGGTTTCTTTGTGGCTTTGGAGGTTGTCCTGGAACTCTCTCTGTAATCCAGGCTGGTTTCAAACTCACAGAGATCTGTCTGCCTTTGCTTCCCAAGTGCTGGGATTAAAGGTGTTAGCCACCAAATCCTGGCAAAGTTTTTTTTTATTGGTTTTTTGAGTCAGGATTTCTCTGTATTGCTTTAGAACTTGTCCTGGAACTTGCACTGTAGATCAAGCTGGCCTCCAACTCACAGAGATCCACCCGCCTCTGTCTCCCGAGTGCTGGTATTAAAAGTGTGCACCACCAATGCCCTATTGTTTCTTTATTTTTATCTGTTTTTGTCTACTACTTCCTGAGGGAAATATGTTAAATTTTCTTTATGTGTTTCTTAGTTAGGATTTTATTGCTGTGAAGAGACAACATGACAATGGCAGCTCTTATAAGAGGGATGGCTTACAGTTTAGAGGTTCAGTCCATTATCATCATGGAGTAAAACATGGTGGCATGCAGGTAGACATGGTACTGGAGAAGGAGCTGAGAGTTCTGCATTTTGATCCACAGTATGAAACTGTACTACACTGGTCATAGCTTGAGCATATATGAGACCTTAAAGCCCATCCCTGCAGTGAAACAATTCCTCCAATAAGACCACACCTCCGAGCCGGGCGTTGGTGGCGCACGCCTTTAATCCCAGCACTCGGGAGGCAGAGGCAGGAGGATCTCTGTGAGTTTGAGACCAGCCTGGTCTACAAGAGCTAGTTCCAGGACGGCCTCCAAAGCCACAGAGAAACCCTGTCTCGAAAAACCAAAAAAAAAAAAAAAAAAAAAAAAGACCACACCTCCGAATGCTTCCCAAACAGTTCCACCAACTGGATACCAAGTATCCACGCCTGTGAGCCTTTGGGGGCCATTCTTACTCAAACTATGACAGTATCTATTTTTAGCAAATTTATATTTTTTGAAGACAGTATTGAAGAGCTGCTCTCATTGTAACTTCCAAGTGTGCAGTGTGTACCTAGTACTAGAAGTCACCACTATTGTGCAGTAGGTCCAGGACCTATTCTTCTTCTTTCTAAGCTTTGTGTCTTTTGGCCAACATCTTCTGTTCCCTACTCATCCCTAGTGCCTGGTGACTCCCAGTCTACCCTCTGTTGCTGCAAGTTATTACTACGTTTTTTTTTTTCTTTTGAGTCCATAAGATCCTACAGCTTTTGTCTTTCTCTGTTTTTTTTTACTTAGAGAATAAGGTTCATCCATGTCACAAATAACAGGATTTTGTTCTTTGTAAAGGCTAAATGATATTTCACCATTTATATATATATTTTTTCTAAGCATCACATTTTCTTCATTCATCTGTGGGTGGTCAGTTAGGTTGGTTATCCATAACGTGGGCATTGTGAATAGTGCTGTAGTGAATGTGGGTGTATGTTTACTTCTTTGACATATTATATTATTTTCCTTTTGAGACAGTTCTCCTACTCACTGTGTAGGCAAAGATGACCATGAACTCCTGGTTTTCCTGCCTATACCTTCCAAGTGTTATGATTTCACGTGCTCACCACAATACCCTGCTAGATGTTGTTACTGTTGGCTCTTGTCAGTGGATTTTAAACATCAGGGTTTCCTTCCCTTCTCTCCCCTCCCTTGCCTTCCCTTCCTCTCCAATGTCCTCATCTCTCATCTCTCTTCCCCCTTTTCTCCCTCCCCTCCAAATGTGGACAGGATGGCCTCAAACTCACAGAGATCTTCTTGCCTTCACCTCCCAAGTGCTAGGTGACAGGGATGTGTCATTACGCACAGTTTTTAATGATAGTAAAAATTTTCTAGTATCTCCTTATAGTTCTATAAGCTTTTTATTTAGTCACATATTATAATTTTATTTCATTTTTTGTTTTTGTTTTTTGTTTTTCGAGACAGGGTTTCTCTGTGGCTTTGGAGGCTCTCTAATATGGATATGCAAAATATTTACCTCAACTTGTAGTATAGTAAAAGCTTTTTTTTTAGACAGGGTTTCTCTGTATTGTCTTGGTGGCTGTCCTGGAACTCGCTCTGTAGACCAGGCTGGCCTCGAACTCACAAGAGATCCACCTGCCTCTGCCTCCCGAGTGCTGGGATTAAAGGCGTGCGCCACCAACGCCCGGCAAGCTTGGTGTTTTTATATTTAGTGTATAATTAGCTAACTATTGTAAAAATTTTCGTAAAAAAATCTGAAGATGGCAGAGTTCAAGGACATTTTAGAAAGATGAAATAAAAGTTGAAAGTGAACTTACTTTAAAAAAAAGAGTTAACGTGTGTGTGTGTGTTTGCCTGTATGTATGTATATGAACCATGTGTGTGCAGTGCATGTGGAGACTAGAAGAGGGCAGACGGGATGTGGCCAGCTGTCCCACTCATCTGCACCTCTGCCACCAGGATCAGCTCTACTGTGCTGCCCGGGCAAGCTGCAGGGCCTGCTTGCTGGAGTGCTGCAGCTGGCGGGGGGTGGGGGGGGTGCAGCTCTCCTGCTCTTATGACCTCAGGACCAGCTTTTCCACCCGCCTCATATATTGGGGGCGGGGGCATCTTTCTCTGCCTTTGGTGGTATCAGGAGCCACAGACATCAGCACAGACCAGGGCCATGAACAGCAGCCTAGGTAGGCCTTGAATTCGTGACAAGTTTTATTATCAGGCCTAACGTGTCTGCTTTCTTTTCAGTTCTCCACAGAGATTCTTAAAGATATGTGAAAGTCTTCTGAAGTTGTTTAGCTGGAGGTGGTGGCGTGCACCTTTAATCCCAGCACTCGGGAGGCAGAGGCAGACCGTTCTCTGTGAGTTTGAGGCTAGCCTGGACTATAGAGTGAGTTCTAAGACAGGCTCTGAAGCAACCTTGCAAAACAACAACAACAACAAAAAACCAACAGCAAAAAAAATAAAGTCAGAACTGCCCCTCAGCCTGTGTGAAAAATTACAGTGGGTGTTGCTGTAATGTGGGTGCTGACAGTTGTCTAGGGAGTCTGCTGAGCTTATTCTCTTTGACATGAAGGACCAAGCCATGGCAGCACAACAGAGTATCTGCTATATTCCTTTGGGCCCTAAGGCTGGGAGTTTGCTGACTGGAGCTGGCTTAGGTATTTCATAGGGCCCTTAGGGACAGCCTCTCAATTGATCTTGGGTGTCCCACCATCCCCATGAGACCTGCCTTGGCTTTCCCTGTCTATGTTCCTCTAACCATCCTTCAATTACCTATAAACTCAGGAGAAGTCTGAGTAACCCTGAGCTTGTGATCCATTTTCGGTTGTATTGGGTTTAAAGTCATGTCCTGCATAGTTCAGACATCTGTAAAAGATGTCTTACTGCTGTCCTGTACTGAAGCCTAGTGCTGTTCTACCATTGTGACTAATGTTAGGAAACGCATCAGCTGGTGAGGTACTGTCCCTGGGAGCAGCCCTCCTGGCTCCGTCCTCCGTTTTCCTCCTCCATCCATCTCGTCCTGCCCCATTCTTCTTTGTCCTGCACTGTCCTTCTCTGTGCTTTAGGACAAATTGCATTTCTGTCCTCATAGAGGATCTCTCCATTGACTTGGAAATCCCTTTGCCGCCCCCCCCCCTCTTGTTCGAGACCTCATTTTCTTTTTCAGTTTGGTAGAGAGTATTTCTCAGTGGCATCTTGAGAAAGGTTGTAGAGAAGTCAGTGTTTGGGATCTCTTGTGCTGGCTCTCTGTCGCTTTATAGTCAGTTACTCCAAAATTTAGTTGTAGTTTGACAGTAGGGGTTTTGGCTGGGGGTGGAGGGTTTGTTTCCCTCTCAGAACTGGCAAGGTGTTGCTGTCATGGCTTGCTGCCTTTTTCTCATGACCTGGTGGCTGTGCCTTCCTAGACTGAGTGAAGAAAGAGAACGAGATAGAAGTAGCTTTTATTTGACCTAGATTTCTGCCTTGTATTGCAAATTAAAAGTGTTGCTAACTCTGTCCTCATTCAAGGACAAAACAAACAA